TGTAGGTGGATTTATTTGGCGAAATAGCCCGCATAGTCGATCGTTCGATGAAGAATCGCCCTTAGAAAAATGATCAAGTTTTTACTGTCGTACTCTCTGAGCGATTAATCCGTGTTTACCAGCATTTTCAGGTTTGTCGATTACAAATGGATACAATCGACAGACTTCTCCATCAAGGCACAATAGAGAAAACGTCCTCTGACAACTTCCTCACATGCAATACATACAAACCACTAATGAAGCGTCGCTGTATGCATCTTAAGACAAATATCTGCATCTCAGGGCCGTCGGCATCAAAATTTTGATGGGAAAAGATGAGCAGGGGTGTTGTGATGTGCATAGACCATTGTTATCGAATAGGTTGTGCCTAGTGAAAAGCGACCGATTTCAACACACCAAAAACAAGCGTTTTATGTCACAATTAATTCCTAAGAAGATCGAATCCGTTTACACTGCTGGCCAGAAAGACACATGTGGGAATTCAATTGTTTAAAATCGTCTGAGCGCCACACGTTTTAACTAGCCTTTATTTCGATAAATTTATTTTAAAGTGGGTCAAACAGATGATCTAAATGTAAGCAGAATCGCTTATTGATACCAGGCAGATCCACAGTTAAGAAGACTTATAGCTCCAATTTGTCCCTATGTGTTGTCAGCAAATCTGAATCTGTTCCTGCCGGTCTGATTTTGAGGAAGAAACTGTGTAGTTCTTGTGGTCTGGAATTTAATTCACTGAAGGTAGTCCAAAATATGCACCATGGTACTGGGGCCAGAAGATCCAAATACTCATAGGAGGTACCTACAGTCATGAGAACTTTGAGTTTTGAAAAATGCGATAGGGATTAACGGATGCCTTGTCGCTTGGGAAATCACTTCCGGCAGTCTTAACAATATGGCGAGTAACTTCATTTGCAGTGTCTTTATAACGCAAGAAAGTGGCTTTCCCGTCATGAAAAATTAGTTTGATCTTCCGTGAGTCTCCTCCGGCTGTCTAAACATATGTCGCCGCATAGCCAAACACGCGCATGTTCGTTTGGAATTTACACTCAGCCACAGAACTATGAGCAATCTGTTTGTCATTAGTTCGTATTTACTCATAAGTCCGTCCATCTTTCCGAAAGGTACCTGAAACACATATTTATGTTAGAAAGAGAAAGAGAAAGTGAACCGATTGAAGTGTGCGTATATGAGTAGCCTCTTGTGATCTGGGGCTTTTGTTGTCGCTGGACAATCACCTTTCGGAACGCGTTTTTTGTATGGTGTCAATTACCGTGCGATAAGGATTCCCGGTTTACTCAAAATATTTGGCTATCCAGTATATACATTTAACTGTTTTTCTCGCCTCGATCGCCTGCCTCGCCATTTGCTTTGCCGTCAAGGCTTCGATAACGTAAATGTGCTATCTCCAGAAATGTTAATCGAAATTCCGAAATGCCTTTTCAATCCGTAAAGACTACTTCAGTAGATTTGTCATGTTAGTTATCAAGTGGCATAATACCAAAATATTCCAGCCACGTTATTATGCCGGCTTCCGGACATACTGCTTATCAACTGCTTGCTAAAACTGTATTTCGTAAAAAATGACTACTCATGAAACATAACTTTTTTCTCATTGATTTTTGATTCCCTTATAAATGCAAGTATATTTTGCAACAAACATGCACAGAAACATTCCTTCTCCAAAGCATTTGATAGAGAAAAACGTCTTTCCGTTTTATACTCTAAAAAGTTTATCTTTCAGTTTTAAAAAATTTCTATTTATAAGATTTTTCAAGACTGTGAAATGTCGAATCGTACAGCATCGCATCGGCACACCAAATAATGTCGCTTATAACGTGGGTAGCGAATTCCACATTCATTGCAAAATTTTGTGTCTCGTGTATCCTTCTCATGATAGCACATAAAAATGTACCATTTTCAAACACGAAAAGTATACAGCTTGTAGTTTGAAAACCCTGAAAAAAGTGGGGTTTAGCATAATTCGGGAATTGAGTTTTTTAGAACCGGGTGCTGATAATCTTTTTTCAGGATAATATTTAAGGAAGACGTAATTTGCTACCAAATAAGCAAAGGGAGGAATATTTTTGTGCGTGTTTTATGTAAAGTCTTTTTGAATTTATAAGAGTACCAAAGATCGATAGGAACAATTCATGTTACATAAGAAGTCCGTTTTTACGCAATATAGTTTATGCAAGCAGCCGGCATCTTGACGTGAGAGGAATATCTTAACCTTATGCGACAGGATAGTTAGCTTGACAACTCTACTTAAGTGGCCTTTTCGAACTACAAGCACATTCAAGAATTCAAGGCAAACTTTCATGAAAAAACCTATATTTTAGTGTAACTCAGTCATCCTGAAATTAGCCCACTCAGTCTTACCTAACGTGGTGCACAGCAAGCGATATAGACGGCCAACTAGTTGTCTGGTCACTGATTTCACTGATTGACTGATTTGGATGTACGTTTTTTCCAAAGCGTGTACCGATGTCGACATCTGCGCGACTATGTAGGCGGGCTCTTGACAACGGTAGTAAATATTTCGTCAAGTGTCATTGGGCGGCGGTTGCAAAGACATATCTGTCCCTTATAGTATCTGACGCCACGGGGAAAGTGGTAAAAACTTCATGTGACTGCTTGTGGATGATCGCAAGTCGTCGATATGATATGCTGAGTTTTGATGCATGTGAAAAATGTCAAAAAACACATGGCAGTAATTAAGGACACTATTTTCAGTTGTAAGACGAATCGTTCAACCAGTGTAATTAATAAATGCGAACCAAACTGCCAACAACGTATGAGCTTAATGCGTTATACCTAGGTTTTGCATGAATTGGAAAGTAGAGACAGGCAGGCGGAAGATGATTTTGATCGAAAACGTCTTATTTATATTTCATGCTCAGGGAGGGAGTATAATTAAGTTTTAAAAAGTTTCTAATTATGAAATTTTTTAAGACCGCGCAATCTCCATTCATACAGCATCGTACCTGTATGTTTACCACTGCTCCTTATGAAATGTGCAACGTAGTCCGCATCCATTACAAAAACTTTATGGACTCTGTATGACAAATTTTTAAAGGCACAAAAAATATGTGATTTTCCTTACGCGGAACGTATGCATCTTGTAGACTGAAATCACTAAGTGCTAATGCAACGAATGATAAGGCTCCATATTATTCGGCAATTAGAAAACGTTTTTAAAATTCTTATTATACTCCCTGGCTGAGTATAAAATATGAAGAAGACGTAGTTCTCTAGTAAACGACTGAAAGAAAGCATATTTACGTTTTTGGTTCCTATAAGATGTCTTTGAATTTGCAAGACAATCAAAAATCAATGGGGAAAATGCATGCTATTTAGGTAGACATTTTTCACCGAGTAGGGCTTCTACATGAGATTGAAAAGCCGTGTATTCAAAAGCTGACATCCTACCGAGTCGGAAATATTAAAGGATTATGTCGCAAGATAATCAGTATTACAACCGCGCCTAAGAAGTCCTTCCTAATCGAAAACATATTTCAGAATTACAGCCAACATTTCATGAGATCGGTCACTCACTGTTTGTCGTAAACATTCCGTTCGCATTTCGCAAGTGGCACTCTTTTCTCTTAGTCACTACATTGCTTGAACCGACCTTACCTAGGCCTGATGCCTTTTCCCCTGTGATAATTCATACATGTTCTTTTCTTGAGGTGATTTAAGTATGATTTTTTAGGCTTTATTTGATACCACGGAGAGAACTAAATCTTCCCGGGAATCATGCCAAGATTTTTAAAATTTTTACTGGCTACTGTAAAAAGAAATCTACACTTTCGTGATAGGAAATCTTGTGATGACATTTAAATTTAATGTAGGTATTTAATAAAGTCTTTCATCTAGTCCTGCTTAGAGAATGTTGTTGAATATCTGAACATACCATCTGGAACGAAGTCAAATAGAATGGAAGGAAAGCCAATAATGTCGCAAGGATTTGAAAGCGTTCAAAGGACACTGAATAGGTTGTTTAAATACCATTTGCACAGCTTTATTTTTTTTAAAAAAAAGTAAAATCAAATATTTCACTTATTTTAAAGTGCAAACTGACAAGGTTGCGGCCAAAAACGGAAAGGCATGCCGTCTTTCAGTACAGGTCATATAATTTTACCGAAAATTCATACCTAAGTTACCAAAAAATAGACGGAGGCATTTAGTATGCTATAGGTAGGTTCATACGCTAAAATGTTGCTCCCATATTTACTCTTATAACTGTGCGCATTACAAATTTCTCAGGCACTGTTTCTGTGTGGAACAAGTATATCAGTTAAGATTGCAAATGAGGTGGATGAGAAGCAAAGGATTGCGCAGTATCGAACTTGCAGATTATGCGGCCAACATCCGCCTTTAATTCCTTTACTGGTAAATCTTGGTGAAGTTCGGTGATATTACCCTGTCATCTAGGAGCATGCATTTCAACTGACCTCTTTTCTTCTGAGAATTGTTTTCAGAAGTTTTGTATGAAGAGGTAGACTATACAAGAGCATCTGTAATATTTCAAAAGACAAAATAAGTTTCTTGGATGTGGGCCTTTTAAACCTGTTGGAGGTAAGTGGCCTTTGTTTAGTATTTTGGACAAGTACTGTTGCCGGACCGTTTTCACAATGGAATGCGAAAAAGATGCAACCTGACTGTAACATATGCAGCCTACTAGCTACTTGTCTCTGTCCTTCCAACTGGGTCTTTATAGTCTTCAATGATTCCCAAAATTCCTGACTGTTCAACATCTTGGTAACAAGTAGTTCCCATGGAATACCCTTTCGTAAACAGGTGTGGACGTTCTCACCCTTATTGTAAGACATGTCTTCGGTGCATGTGAACCATTACGTCAACATAGGGAAACTTAGAATGCCTTCGAGCAAATTGCAGTAAAACTAGGCAAGTAGAATAGTAGGAAATAGTATTATAAGAAAAAAAAATTGGGGTTATTGGGAACATCGGAAAAACAGTACTATCTCTAAGGGTTGAATCTAGGAGACCGTTTTGCCCTCGATGAGGAGTTCAAAAGATGACAAGGACTGCGAGGGATCAAGGCGACGAATTATCCTTGCTGGCTTGCCCAAAAGTGAAAAGTCGAACATGGTGCTGTTGCTGTCAACTCTGGCCTGAAAATGAAAAACAAAACATGACCGAGACGTAGTTTATAAAAATAATTCTAACAGATATGCGTATGTTCACATATATGATGACAATTCGACCGTCGTTGCCAACGATGTCCACCTTGAGCCTACAGGTGAGAGCAGGCACGGTGGCTTGTGCGCGAAGTAGGTTCTAGTGGTGGCGTACTTGCATAGGATCTACCGCGCTCCCCCCTTCCCCACCCGAACCCAGTGTCAAAATATAGACCAGAAGACAGAGGTGAAAGAAAGTACAAGTGGCTGAGAGAGCCGGATCCGCGCCTAGGTGTACCACCACACTCCCTGACCCACAGCAAACAACTGACGAGTATTTTAACCAACAACAAACACGGGGCAGAAAAAGGAGTATAAGACAATTTACTGGACAACCAAAAAATGGCCTATGTACCTAGCAGGAGTGCAAACGCATCCACCGGCAGGGAATCAGGTGCCAGAGGACTGCCAGCACGCACCAGGCTGAGAAGGCCATGGTTTGCTGGAGTGTGGCATGGCATGCGCACGCAGTCCTCAAAGCCCATATACGCGTGCACATACCTTTTTCACTTATATCCACACATACACACATATATGGCCAATTAAAGCGAAAATGCGCGTCCCTGGGGATAAATGAGAAGAAGGGACGATCTCGGGAATCAAAGATTTAATATCCTGAAGTTTCAAAAGCAAACAAGCTTCCATCGTCGGAGGTGGGTTCTGTACGGCGCCTCACATTATTTACGGGTGCTGAGCATGCGGGAGTGTTGTCGTTCCTACTGCTATTCGTGCAGTGTCTTCTGCGGGGGGAGAAGTTAATTGCAGTCGTGCTAGTCGGTCCCTTCCTGCGCCTCCTCGTCGGGTGGGCTGTGTCCGGATGGCAACGGTCATTGACCTCGTCTGCATTGCCCGCATTTGTTGTGCCTGACCCGCGCTTCTCGTGATTGTCGCCCGTTTGCCTCTGCCCGTGTGCACCTCGGTGGTTGCTGGCCCGTTGTCTGTGTCTACTTTATCGGCCTGCTGATCTCCGTCATCGGTGTTTGGGCGCGAACGGTGTTCACTTGGGCTTGTGGTCCTGACTTCCTGCCTTTGATTCCGTTGGTTGAACCGCACTCGTAGGGCCTGGTTAGCCGCCGGGAGAATCGTGCAGCGGTTGATGGGAGTTGGTACGGTGTGCCAGGCTTCGAGAGTTTCCCTGGCTGTCTGGTCGGTACCTCGGCCTAGGATTTCGGCGTTCTGGACGGCGAAAGTGTGTCCAGAGGCAGCACAATGTTCCGCCACCAGTGAGTGTTGGTCAATCCTTCTCACTGCCCTGGCGTGCTCACGCATGCGGGTTTGTAGGCGTTTTCCGGTCTTTCCAACATGGTTCGCCTCACATGAACTGCACTGGACACGGTAGACGACGTTGGCTGTTTCGCCTCGTGACAGAGGGGCCTTGGGCCTCATGCCCAGACGTCTTATTGTCGCTTCAGGTCTGTGGGCGACGCCGAACCCCAGTGGTTGTAAGAGACGAGCGACTGCTTCGGAAATATTCTCATTATATGTAGCCACTTTGTCGGCTGCCTCGCTGAAGTGAGTTTCCGCCCTCTTGTAAACAGTCCGCACACAGCTACGCTTATGGCACAACGGGTGGTTACTGTAGTAACTGAGGACCTGATGTGTGTTGGTGGCCTTTCTGTAAACCGTCGTTTTTAGGCTCCCATTGCTTTTGCGGTGGACCAGGACGTCTAGGAACGCTAGCTGGTTGTTGACTTCTGCCTCCCTTGTGAACTGGATGTCCGGAAAAAAACAGAGTTCAGGATCGTGTGAAATTCGAAGACCATCTCCCGCTTGAGGATTACGAAGGTATCGTCCACATACCGTACCCAAAATATTGGTCTGCGGGTTGTGAACACCAGCGTCACTAACTTTTGAAGGACCGCCTCAGCAATGAAACCAGACAGCGGCGAACCCATTGGAGGTCCTTTGATTTGTTCATAGACCGTTTCTTCAAAGGTGAAATAGGTCTTGAGGCAAAAATGGAGCATCTGGATAAGGTGCGCTCGTTTAAGCTTATTGGTCTCGTCGTCATATTGACTCTCAAGTAGATCGCCGACAGGTTCAATTGCTAGACACATGTACGCACACATATATACACATATACACATATATCTGTGGAATGGTATTACCGACAAAGACAAGGGAGACTGGAATGGTCATTTCTGGATTGTTAGCCGTCGTCAGCCAGCCATACCCAAGCCCGAAGTGTGGAGCACCCGAGCCTCGAACTCGCGACCTGTTAGTTTATACCTCCACGCCTCTACCCACTGGGCCACGAGCCCGTTGCCCTGTCGGTTTTCGATCGGGAATATACAATGGTAGGGGGAGCTCACCGATCGTTCATACGGAACTCACTCGTTCCGTTGTGACTTAAGGGCTCTCTCGAGCCCAACCAGCAGCCGCACAGCGGCGCATGATATAAAGGCAGAATGGTATTACCGGGCTCGAGAGAGAGCCCTTAAGGCACAACGGAACGAGTGAGTTCCGTATGAACGATCGGTGAGCGCCCCCTACCATTGCATATATCTGTGCATGTAAATCGTGTGGTACCGACAAAGACAAGGGAGACCGGAATGGCCATTTCTGGCTTATTAGCCGTCATCAGCCAGTCATACCCAACCCCAAGCGTGTGTCCTCTTGTGTAAAAACCAGATGTCTTGTAAGGAGGTCAGGTCGTGTATGATATACGCAGATCGACTGTTTAGCTAAGTCAGATAACTGCGCTCCATCTTAACATCAGATGGCTAACCGCCTCGATCAGTGGCCTGGTTCACGGGAGAGGAAAGTAAAAATTACGTCAACATTGAAAACCGCGGCTCCACGCAATGCCGCGCGTTTGTTCCCTGTAAACAACTTTACATGTTTTCGTACTGTCACGATTCGCTAAAAGTCGTGACTTGGATGACGGTCAACGTACGCGACAACTCCTTCTAGGACAGAGAGTCGGGCTGCAATGGCTCCTTCTAGAGATAGTCCCAACGACGCTTCCAATCTGTTTGAATGCGAATCTCCCCTTACTACTTTCTGTGATCACCTGTTTCCTCGTGCGCTGACAAGGCGTGTGTCGCGCACATAGACGGCCTGTTCAGCTGTATCAGCCATTGTGCCCGATTCTGTCTCGGTCGCTCTGACTTATTCTTTTACCAGGCTCAGGAGGAAGTGCAACAGATGTCGCGCACGCTTGGTGCTATTATAAACTAATTCGTTCGCGAGTCACCGTCCCTGCGACGGTCAAAATGACATGTGCAAAAATATTTTTATTAACGTTTTTTAGGCATTTATTAACGGACAGTAAGAATCGGGGTGGCGGCATGCCTAAATAATGCCTAGGTTCTTTTTCCAGTCACAGACATCCATTGACTGGTATCCAAGTATATTAGTTTGAAATAGGTAGAGTTCTCTGAAATTGAAAAACGGTCGTGGTTTGACTGTAAAAGGTTGGAGCTACGAAAACTGGTTTCACAGCTTGTCGTCTGGCTTATGAGCAATGCCCAAGAATAACGTTTTAGTCATACGTAGCAAATCGTTACCCTTTCACCAAAAAAAGACATGAGCTCCAGCTAGGCTTGGGGACTCAAACAAACGCACACGCAACACCGACAGTTAATAGATCAAATCAATCAGATGGGTTATGAACACATCATCCAACCGAAATCCCTTAATCCGCCATATAGCGGTAGGGGAAAGTGAAATACCCCACCAGAACGCATAAATCTGACCATAAGATCATTGCTATACCCAATTTCCGGTGCAACCAACAACGAAAAGCTCAATCCAAGATTGCACTGCCCAGTTACGAGGTACTGGGAAGCCATAGTTGCCTAATATTCTAAGTTACCGAGCTTTCCACTGCTCAAATGGAAGGACCTGTTTGCAATTAATTTAATAGAACCTCATTTGCCAAATAAAAAGGTATTACTCACGACGTATTCCAGTTTTTCATTTTCCAGCCAGATGCTCATCGTTGATTTTGCTAAAAATAAAAAGACCTCATAATATAGCACAACAATATCGAATTATCCTATGTGAACATTAAGAGTCAATGGTTGTTTGCTGGTATGGGTACGGCTTGTTACGCCATTTTTTGAAGCTCCTGTCCAGAGCACTCGCTAACGATCACGTGGCGCGAAAAGCAACAATGTAAAAAAAATCGTGACAAAGTCTAGGGCGACTGGTGCGACCACCACCGATTTGCTTGCCGTCATAAGTCAGCCGAGTTCGAACGCTGACCGTCTATTCATTGAACGTTGGTCCAAATGTTCAACCACCGAGTCACGCGTACGTTATTCTGTCAGCTGTGCTTGGGGATGTTAATTCAAATTATGGAACACTTTTGTCCTGTTGCGTGTGTGCTTATGTCATGACGAACATCCGTTGTCTTGATTATAAACGTGTCTGTGCAAGGCAAAGACAGCGAGATATGCAGAATCCAATGAGTTGAAAAAAATCCGGCAACCTTTTTTTAACTGTGTACGGTCATTGCATGTTAAGAAGATGAACCGCCCAAAGAGACAACGGCCTAAGGAATCCAATGTGATAGATAGATAAAAACAGGAAATATTGATCTGACTTGCGGGTGTTTGTGGTGTGAGGAGAAAGGAATGTGCTACAGGTGAGCGACTTGGGGTTGCAGCGTGATCCACCTAGCATTACCACAGAGGGTGTCGATGGATGAACTAATTACCTTTCCTCTTTCGCCCCCTCCTCTCCCCCACATGAATGATAAATGTCGCATGACAAGGTTTCGCTGTAATTCGAACTCCTTTGCCTATGCAGCTTCGCAGCCCACGCTCACATCATGACCATCCGCACGTCAGATCAACCACCTTTGATTCACCTAGGCCGTTTTCTTATAAGACAGTTTATCTTCGGGATGTGCAGTGGCCGTGCACAATAGAATAAGAGGTTGCGGAATTTTAATAAGTCATTAGAATCTTCATATTTCGTCGACTTCGCCTTATTCAGATTTATTTCAAGAAGACAGTGTGAGTTAACTAGAAAATACGGACCCTCTCTGAGCTCACTTAACGGGGCGGGCGGGCGGGCCTTGTCATATAAGGGCTTTTTGTGCGAAGTCCGCGGCCTTTCACGTATTAGGTCACGAACTGTATGTTTTGATTAGCTTGACCATGCATTGCTTCGATAAAAATGAACGGGAGATGATTTCCTGGGTTAAAGTTAACGTTCCACCAACTATGCCCTAACATATTTCTGGCTTCGCCAAGGAACCTTATTGATTTGCATGTGCAGCGCCGTCAACTAAACGTTCAAAGGATAAAAAGTATCCACTGCCTACTTCGACTTGTGTTGTTTTTAGATGATAACTTAGAATACGTTGCTGGGGCTGTCTTCACAACAAGTTGCTGCGGCCCATCGAAGTTACTATAAACATCTTGTAGTACGACTGGTAGGCTTTCGTCAAGAAGGGATTCTTTTGTTTTCTAACTTGCAAATATTTTAAGGTCACAAATTAGAACTTTTTCAGTTGCATGGGCAGATTTAGTTCCTTCACATAATAATCGAATGTTAGTATGCATTGAAAGTGTAGTACAGGGATTATGCGAATAGTGGCAGGGACGGCAGACATTTTTGCGCAAATGGGAAATGGAGGTTATCTTGCAAAGCATAAGCGTCAACCAACGCCCAGTATAGAGTTTGTCATCAAAGCCACACAACGTAATTTTGAAGGTATGATGGGCGAGGTGTTCTCCTATTCATGCTAACCGCCTCTTATCGCACCATAGGAAGACAGGGGGACGAGGGCAACCTATTCGGTCTGCCAACGTACCTGTACTGTCCATCAGTACAGTATGTGCCGACAACGTTCAGTATCGAAGTGGATTTTTAACTCTGTGTTAATACCTCTGCGGCGCCTGTCCATCTCATACTGGTTGTGTTCGAGCCACACACTTTTCATTTTCTGCCGATGTGTCAATCTAGACGAATCGACAAGGTTTGGGTAATCGCTTGGAGGGTGACTACGTTTATCTTATACCCTTTTGGAGTGGTCTATCTCTCGAGTTAGATCTCCAATTATTTTAAACACAGCTGTAGCTTCAGGCGTCGCCTGGTGGTTCGATACGCAAAACATGAGATCTAGCGTTGCTATTACACTGATGTTTGTAGGTATGCATGCTTACAGTACACTACTGTGTATTAAAGTCCTCATAAATTGTTAAAAGTCGTTTACATTTGGAGGACTTCCGCGATTTAGAGGTAAAATGAGATTCAACGTATTCGGCTTGCTTTTATATATGTATCCATCTTGAATATTTCATTTTTCCCTTAACAGAAAGCGGGCTTGGAAGTCCCGATCTTATTCTTCTCCTCAATCCTGTACTGGGTACTTTAGAGAATGGAATCTGTATTCGTGAAATTGTGCAGCAACGGCTGGTTTGGCGGAAACGAACGCGTCATTAAAAGGTGGGTCCTTCTTCTGGATGTTCGAGCTTTGAGAACAAGAGTTCCCACGTTTTGAGGATTTGCTTCGTTGATCGACGCAGCACTCACCAATCCTACTAAAAGTCCCAAAGATCAATTGCCTTGAGAAGCATTTTAAAAACACAGGTCACTTTATCGATTCATTCGTGACGGCACATTCGCAGCTTGGCCGAATGCCGGTCACACTGAGGATCAAGTCGTGTCGAAAAGCAGTCAAAACTGGAGCAGCATTCGAGCTGATGTAAAGAAATACTTTCTATTTTAAGAAATTATTAAAGTCTGAGAAGTTAGACGAAGTCTGTTACTATGCAAGAATATCGATTTTAAACAATTCTGTACTCATATGACGGCGTCGTTAGGATCATTTTTTATCAAATATGATTCTTCCTATGCTTGTGATTTCGGTTCTGCCGAATGACGAATATCTGTCTACGCCTCAGCACACTCCATCTTAACTGCACGCAAACAAATTTCATTATCTCCCGATAGACTTTCCGGATATAAAACAATTTTTGTAGAATTCTGGAAAAATTATTAAGACTTCTTCAAAAAACCGCGCAAACCAAATCTCTAACGCATAGATATGGTGAGAAAACGGTCTTAACAACCACGTCAGTAGTCTCCAAATATGGACCCCAAAATTGTTGACAAGAATCTCCTTAATGCATAGATTATTGTGAGGCTTTTGCTAAGTACATATATTCGTAAATCGTCGACTATGGGAAATTCAACAAAATATACTTTACTCAGAGTGGCCGCCCTTGAGGCCAATACTTAAACCCATAAGTTCCTAGGCAGATTGATTTGATGGCAACTGCCGGTTAATGCCCAGCCGTTTCTAAGGATTAGCAGTTCTTTTTCGACGATGGCAAGCCTTATCGCACTCACGTACCTTGTGTTCTAGTGTTGCATTAGTAATGATTACATTGGAAAAGAGTGCATTTAACTAACTGAATACAAGGCTCTGGAGACTTCCAGCCACTTTGGTATTCCAAACAACGGTGTCGACAGAGGGATCATAGACTCGCGTTGGTATTTCAGTGGGCCTAAAAAAGAAATAACAAAATGCGTTAAACGGGAAGAGCAACTTGCAAACGAGAAACAAGAAGTATCTAAATAGAGAAAAGGAAAGAACATTGCATACTAACCTATCCAATCCCTTATGATTTGGGCCGCAACGATCTCACCAGACGTCATACATTTGGCATGTTGGAGCCAGTTTGACTCATTCGTTTTGCGTGTTTGGAGCATTTCTCAAGACTCTATTACCCAGTATGATCCCACTTGCAGTTCGTCCGGGTATCAGTATTGCAACAAAATGAAAGTTGAGATTCTGCCCCAGGCAGTGGGCAACCACAACCGTCAGTCGGCTCCCATGTCAAGCTAAGCATATATCTTCGCGCAAGCCAATCTGTAGCTTTCATCCAGTTTGACGTACGTGTTTACAGGCTCATTTGTCCCAAGAAATGTAGCAGATGAAGCATGACTGTTTTTTTGGTTTAATCTGTCCATGGTGCTCATAATTTGGTCGCGCACTGTGTGGGACGTTCGTAGCTAAGCCCTGATCGAAACGATCCATCCCAGCTTGTGCTAATGCTAGTTTAATGTTTGCTTATTTTTTGTGTTAAATGGGTTAGACTGGGCTACCCCGAAGCACCAAATCTGTCAGGACATTAATCTTCTAAAATTTGCCCATTTTCAACTAGAGTAATTTGGATGCTGGGTCAGTTCTGCGGTTTTACCGCTCATTTGTAGCAGTGAGTTGAAGCAATTCCAAGGTCCCGTAGTGATTTTTCTCGATCAAAAAGACACTGGGTGACCGATCTCATGAAATGTTAAACGAAATTTTCAAGTACGTTTTCAATTAAGGAGGATAGCTTAAGCGGGCTTGTCGTATGAGCTATCGTGACGCACAGTCAAGAAATATTTTAGTGGTAGGCTGGCTGACGACGGCTAATAAGCCAGAAATGGCCATTCCAGTCTCCCTTGTCTGTGTCGGTAATAGCATTCTGCCTAAATATTTTGGTCTTGCCGGGATGCCGGTTTTTGCATCAGCTTCTTCCTGGTCGTCTGAATAAATCACACTCGGCAAAATGCATTACTTATCTGGCATGATTGTAAGATAATTTTTGGTGCCCTTTATAATTCGAATATTTTTAGCATGAAATATTCACGACACTGTATTTTCTGGTACTCTTTTAGTAGTAAATTCGGTCTTCTTTACCCAAATGAAAGATATAGTTCGGTTGTAATAAAATTCCTAAACGTTAGACTTTTATGACCATGACATTTCTCCCTGAGTAGCACCCTATCTGTCCGTTTATTAGCACTGCTTATGAAGTATTTAACATAGTCGCGTTCAGGGCAAAATTTCGTGAGTCCTTTATGGTATCCGCTTAACGACATAGAGATACGTGTGTTGTTCCTTATGTGGAACTTATATGGCTCCTAAGCTGTCAAGCCCAATCTCTTACGCAACGGCAGATCTAGCCCAAAATTACTCGAGAACTAAAGAACATCTTAGAAACCTAAATAGAACCTTCCTTCGACCTCGTACTTTGAATAAGACGCGATTTGTTGAAAAAATAGGAAAAAGAAAGCACGTTGAGTGCATATTTCCTAAAAAAATGGGTCGGATGTGCTGATGTAGCCCCACCTGAAGGAAAGAAAACCCCAGTCACCTGTAATACGGGATCGGTGGTCATAGGGGTTTTTACATGCGGGGCTGGGGGACGCACAGGTTACGAGGTCAAGTAGTTTTGTGCAAAAGAAGAGTTATTGGGAATGCGCGGTTGTACTTTGAATGGTTGATAAAGGGTTGCGCTAACCCCTAACCCTTTGACCCTGAACTTCAACCCTTAACCACAACCCCACCAGTATTGTGTTCATCCGGTGGGGCTACCAAACCACATCTTACCAAAAATTGGTTTAATTTATAGGGGTATCGAAAACCAATGGAAATCTTTACACTACTCAGGTTGCCATTTCTGCCAAGTACGGTTTTAGCCGACAGCAAGGAGTAAGCGCATTCATAAGACGGCATCTTGACGGGAAAGAAGTACCTTTGGATTTTGCTACACGATAATTCATATTACAAGTCTACTTTTGTACCTCTTCGCAACTGAAAACACATCTGAGGATTTCGGTTAACATTTCGTGAGATCGGCCGCTGACTGCAGGCAATTAGAGCCTATAAGTGCATAGTAACCAGAAAGTCTGTAAGCGTGTTGTTACTTACGAAACAGACAGCCCGGCACACTTAACAGAACAATGACCCATCTGGTTTTCGGGTCGTTCTGCCAAGCATCGCCCTCAGTGCGACTACTCTTCTATTCAGTGCGAGGACCACTTCTGGATTGTCTCGTCCATGCGCCCCCACTCATTAATCATTCTATGGGGCTACAAAACCTTGTCACCACTACCCCGTCCCTGAAATTGATCAAGAAGTCAGAGGTACTGGTATGTGGAGGGGATTGGGGCCACACCAGTGACGGCAGCAGATTTAGCGAAAATGCAGCCTAAGAAAGGAGAGAAAATTGATCCCCTGGTAGTTGTCGCTTGTTTATTTAAGCGTACCATTCCTCAAGCCTGTCAACGAAGGAATCCTTACGAAAGTCTAACTGACCCCGTATGCAGCGGGTAACTGTGATTTGCTGTAACCATGTGCGTTCACCAAGGCAGTGGTTAACACTCTGCAACCATTGTGTACTCCGTGGAGGCAGCGTGGGATAGTCAGGTATGTCCCGAGTGAAAACGCAGGTGGGGACGCCGGATAAGCAAAACGCCATAGAGGCCTGACTGATTAGGAGCTAGGTAAGGTTGGAGTTCGGGTCAAGGCTGGTGTTCGGAGTATCGTTACCCTAATCGCAAGCGAAATTCAAACCCGGAATTGGCCCAATGCAATGACAGTGCAAACGATCAATTTGCTAACTTTGGTAAGCTGCCTTATCAGTCAGCGTTCCAGCTTACCGCCTCAATACGACGTCAAGGTCTGCTTGCCACTTTAAACACGCGTTAAGTGGCCTCCGTCGAGCCTTCAGGAGCTTTGCAATTGTGGAATTGTTTAGCTGGCACACAGGTAAACGACCACTAGTGAAGGTATTCTAACTAACCGATGCAAACCAAGCCAGAATATTACCTGTGCATCATTAACTGCGACATCACAGGTGCATTTGCTTCAGCAGTTAGAAACTCAGGGAAGCTTTTTTCGCACATGCGCACACAAATGGGTAAACAAAATTCCTAGAGGTCAGTGGACACCGGTGCAAATCTGCTTCGGATTCGCGAAACGTTATCATAATCAAGGCCAAGAAACCACAAAGGATTGGATTAAAAGCAAAACTGGCGCGGTTAAGCAGAGCGGGCGCGCATAGTGAAAAGGTTAAGTCACGCAGGCCATTCGGTCATACGCAGGTCACAGTCCCTGGACAATGGCAACTGCTCGACTTGCTGTGCTGAATCTGCCTTGTGAGCGCCTGGTACACACGGCAGACTGAGGTTCACGCTACGTTAGCTGGAGCTGGCAATCCCAACACGATTCCCCGACAGGCTTGGGTGAGGAACCATTGCATGAGATACAGAAACAGTGGCATCAGTGGTGCAGCATGATTGTCCCGTTCTGGCAGTTCAACGAGTTTCTCGTTATAGTAAATCTGAACCGCAGGAAGCTTACATCAAAGTAACAAATGTAACGTGGAAGACGGCCACTCGACGGATTAATTCGGTCTTATCAGATAAGGCTGCAAAGTCTTCTTAATACAGTATTAGTGTTACTCCCGCCTAATTTATTTAAAAAATCCTCGCACTGCGGTCTGCCTCTGCAGAGACCGTGTGGAGCACGCACAGACGAGCGGATAAGTATTATCAGTCACCTCGCCCACGCCCATCCCCGGCCGTCTTCCCATTTTCTTGCTAGCAGAACACGGACTGCGCGAGGAGACTGGAACGATGAAGATGTCGCGCAAGTCATTGCCGAGTCCCATCCGGGACAATAGTGGTCCGCATGACTTGTGGCGGACAACTTCAAGTATGAGTACTGTTATTAAAATAGATCATTTTATAAAGAGGATTCAAAAGCCTTCAAAAGGCCAAAACTTGGAATTCCTGCGGACTTTCTATCCACAGCGGCCAAACCCGCATCTTGCCCTTGTTATCCCCCGCCACAAAATTATCCGTAGTCACTAGGGATCGACCATTCTAATGACTACAGTAATATCTAGGGCCAACCCTGATTTCGAGGTCGCGCCAACATCACTATACACTTTTAAATTGGACATTTTGTTTTAGCTTCCTTCGCTCCGTAATGGCAGACATCGTTCCGTTGATGTTCCTGCCGTTAATTGGGGCATGAAAGAGCCTCTTTCGGCGTCATGGATCTTCGGCAAGCCGGGTCAGTGCGTGTGAGCGGCTTTACGGTGGGATAGTTGCGCACGGCAACAGGATTCGAAATCTGACGTCTTCATCCACCTCACCGACACACCACTGCTCAGGACGGTATTTTTCCCTGCCAGTAGAATCGAGAAGACGAGGCCCAAGAAGCATTCATGAAGAAGGAGACACGATCGCTGCAACAAGAGCTTTATTAGCCTGACGTTTCGGGGTCCTGCTCGAACCCATCATCAGACCCGTATCTGTGTTTGCCTTTGATGGCGGGTTCGAGCAGAAACCCGAAAAGTCAGGCTAATACAGCTGTTATCTCAAAGATCGTGTCTCCTTCACGCTATCTATCTCCATTGGTAACGGACAACCTTTGCCTCGGTATAATACCGCCACGGCTTATGGGCTGTGTATGGATAACTAATTGATCAGAGGGCTGTACAGCTACGTCTAGTGGAGTTAAGGCTGCGCAGTCCGAGTCTGATTATCGACAGACCAGAGTGCTTACTTTTATCGTATCGAGACTTCGAGAGAGAAAATTTCACTAATCACAACTTCTGGCATCAGTTGGCAACCCAAGGTCGAGATGGCATGCAGCTCCAATTCCCTCAGGACTTCTGTGATCCCGGTGGGTTGCTCTTAAAATTGCATATCGTTCTGAAAGTTGCGTCAACCAGTGGCATTTGTCTGTTCGCCAAAGTTCAAAGAAAGAAGACAGCAAAGATGGTCTGCCAACGGTAGATGTGGACGTGGGAACAGTGAGGCGCGGTAGACACTGCACAAGTGTTCCTCACAGCAGTGAATCCGCGCAGAAGTTACCGCTGCCCCGTGCGATGCAGTGGTGGACCCCGTCACTTACCACGATCGACCTTTTTGGCCATAATAACATAGATGTTCTGGTCTGGCAGTTAATTGCAGGTCGCCACCTCCACCACGAGGCAATGGAGCTAGGCCATTCTGCAAGCTATGTCAGGTCTGCGTGCACCCATTAAAGTGGTTGGGATTTATACATTCAAGCCTTCGAATATTATACAGCCAAATTTTTGCCGTCGTATATTGGCTCCGAATCCGAGACTTGTAGCCAACAAAGTCGAGGATACCAGAGTAGTCGCATCCTGCTCATTTTTCGTCAGCAGCCGTTTATTTCCAGCTCGCGTGGCCTACGGCATTTGCATGCTCACAGTTGCAGGGTAAAATGTGAGGGCATTTTCGCCCTGCAGTCAAGACAGATCGATGACCACCTTTTCGGTACGTCGTGATCTCACTGGAAAAATTTCAAACTTCGATGTTTCACAAAAATTAGCAACCACAGATTTGTTGATCGGCTGATCAGTTTATAGATGGCTGCCTGTTTTCTACGATACACGAATACTCCCCTACATCAAAATCTGCCCACTTGGATGTTTCCCAAGAAACACTTAAGACGAAGTAGAGTACACATGGCTACTGACACAGGAGATCTAAGTGAACTGTCCCGTATTCTGACGATCTTGTGCGCTAAACATCTCTGGGCTTTAACATTTTAGTTCTTTGAAAGCTTCGCCTGCCACGCCTACGATCGTTCTGTCAAAGGTGTCTGGTTTTACCTTATTGGCCAAAATCCGACTAGAATGCATATCCTATTTCTCATAGTTGAAGGTATGTCAAGATCCTGCGTGGCTGAGGCAACCTCCATTTGTTGCAAAACTGTGGGTGCAAAGCTGTGTTGCAGTCTCATATTTTTCCCCATCTAAGACTCCAGCTCATTCAACGCATCATCAGGACACTAGGTTTTTGTTACTACAAGTTACTTACTTACTAACTTACAAGTTGTATGTCCCCTAAAAACCTGAAAATCTCCTAAAGTAGTGAATTCCAGTAAACAATAATTTGATGAGAGTTTATTTGTGTATTTCACCGCTCACTTCAACTAGTCGGTTGGAAATTCGTTAAATAGACTGCGTGGAGAGCGGTCGCTAGATAGAAAAATTACGACAAATATCTAAAAACGCAATAGCTGGAAAAACACGCAATGTCCACCTGACTGTCGACACCGAGGGAAAGCTATTTTCAGAAATTGCCGTAGAATGGGGAGGCGGAATATTGACAAGTGCTCAATGAAATAAAAGTTTGGCAAATACTTACAAATTCCCCGTGCTGGCAGTCCCCTCCATACGCCTCCTGGCGGCACTTCTGTCCTTGCCTTTAACAATATTGGCACTTTTTTTGCCAACGCTGAAAATGACAGACATCGTGGCCGGCGGTAGAGCTCAAACTGCCTCACTGAACCTGAAGAGAGACCTAACGTTGCCACCTGCGGAATGCTGGCTTACATACTGACTGAAAGCGTGAAAAAAATAGTCACCCTTTAGAGCGGTGTGATTGGACAGTGTTTTGCTCCGTCCAGATTAGAAGGAGGCGCACTGCTCATGTAGGCATTACAATAGGTGCGTGTCTTCTGTGAATGCACGCCTGCATTGAGTCCCGGTCCAGTTAGCGACTACATTTTCAGCAGTGATGTTCACACCCACCCACACCCCCACGTTACCACTTCTGGTTGCCATAGCGACGACACGACTGTCCGTCTAATGGATACCATTGTTTGCACTTTTACCCCCTCGAAAGTAAGCGTGCTAATATAAATGGCATTTTTTTAGGCCGACTACTCAGATCAGCAACGTTCCTTTTTCCCGTAGTTTAGTCATAAATGTAGTTAAACCTCCCTCTCCCAGGGCAAGGGTTTATCTCATTCCCACGCATGTCAGTAGGCCCTGTCCCACACTAAGCCATGTTCTATCCTAAAATTTGGCCACAGTAAACTTCTAAATGACTAACGACACTGGACCTTCGAAGTATTTCTTCATTCGACGTCAGTAGTCATTGCTAAAGTCAAATACACACTAAATGGGGTTGTGAGAGGTTCTGGGTGAGTTTGGGCATCATGAAATCCAAGCGTGGCACCCGTGGCTAAAAACGACTATAAGTTGCATGAAAGAGTTCAGAGAAGAACGACCAAAATTTTCAAAGGCCTCAAGACTTTACCTTACAACTGCAGACTTGATGAGCTTAAGGTATGTCCTTTTGAGTATATGCACATCCGAGGAGGTCTCATACGGGCGTATCGGATATTGAGGAACCGGGACTGTGCCCTGAACCTAGACGATTTCCTCACCCTGGCCACAAAAACAAACCTATGTGGTAACTGCGTAAAACTTAAAGGTTCCCGATGCCGCCTGGACGTTTGCAGATACTTTTTTCACAGCGAGTCGTGCGTGCCTGGAACGCGCTTCCCGAGGACGTGATAATGGCGGATTCCACGGAGACATTTAAGCAAACATTAGATTATATTTGCTTGAAAAATGGACAGAACAGCTCTGCTGTGCCAAACCAACGCCTTGCATACATCTACCTCTAACGCGGATGATTGTCATTTCATTTTACCGTTATCATCTACAACTGAGTGTTCTCGAGTTTCGGTCCTGCATTTTGAAAACAAACTATTCTGTTAAGCGAGAATATTGTGACAGCATTTTAGTACCACGTTTATTTAGAGTTAGATATTGCATGTACGGTTTTCAATAGGGTTTTCAAAGGCGTTGTCTATTACCCTTAAAATATACTGACCTGACTGACTTATGAGACAGGTTGAGACTTTCGCGAAGTCCCTACTCCTGAAGGGGCCTACAGTGGCAAAAAAACACTACTTGCTTTGGGCTTCGCCAAAAACGGTCTTCAAAATTATGCATCTTCTGCGGAGATAAAACAAATATTCGTTCTTCAGATATGTCCAGTGTTTGGCTCTACTGAACTTACCACTTTAGCGAACCCGGAGCAAGTTTACCAGCCATGTTGTTAAGGCAGGGGACTAGGAACCCACAGGCGGCCTTCCGCTGAACTCTCGGATGGTTGCCTACACCCGTGTCCTTACCCTAATCTAAACACTAACGATAACCCGAATCTCCATGGAATTCAGAGCGGAGACATCTGTACTATGGGCGGTTTCCTATTCTCCTGTCCCGTACTCATTTCTAGATATTCCTTTATAGGCAATATGTGGCTGTCAAACCGCTTTCAACAGCTGCACTCTGGTTTGACTAATGGAACTGTTTACGCAGGAGCGAATCAAGGGAGAGATGCCCACCAAGGGGCTAAATTCCCAGCTACTTCTTAAAAGCATAGCAACTCGCACAAGTTTAACTTTCACTGCAGGACAAGGTACAAAACGCTCGATTTGCCTCTAAGCCACGGTCTTGAACCCACAGTTAAGATCGCGTGACACGCAGCCGCAGGCATACGATGGATGTGTTATCTCATGAAATGTTAACCCGAATTCTGAAATGCGTTTTCGACCCGGGAGGATAACTTAAATAGGGTTGTTATACTGACAACTGCTCAGCAGAGTCTCAGGGTGTTTTAACTGTGTCGGGATGCTGGCTTTTAGACGAGGTCCCAATGGGCCGCTTACAAAACCTGCACACCGTGGAAAATGCCTATATAGGTTGTATGAATTTTCGCATTGATTTTCTATGGCTTTAAGAATTCTAATATATTTTGGGAGAAACATGCACAAAAGTATTCTTTCTCCTACTCATTTGATAGCCAATTACGTCTTTTTCAATATTTATACTTCCGGTTTAAAGAAGTTCCTAATCGTGAGATTTTCTAACACCGTGAGTTGTTAATTCACAAAACACTCTATTCCTACATTTCCTAATGTTGTTTGTAAAGTGTGCAATATGGTTCAAACCCACTGCAAAATTTTATGAGCCACACACGGTATCATTTTAATAACATGGTTTACATTACATGGAAAATATGCAGCTTCGGAACCCCGAATGCAAGTGTGACGGCAGGTCGGGTTCAAAAACATTTGGAAATCCGAAGGCTATTTAAAATCGATTTGCATTCTGCATTCAGGTGTAGAATTTGGGAAAGGCGTATTGAGTGAAAGAACGAATATTTATTTGCATATGATCTGCAAAAATGATCTGAATATATCAGGATATTTGAGATAAATAAGAAGGATTCATGCAACATAAGTAGTCGTTTTGTAGAGTGTGGTTTTTCAGGCGACTCGAAAGAAGTTCGTTCAAAAGCCGGTATCTTGACATTACCAAAATATCTTGGAATCCTGCTGCATAGTAATTATTCTTATTCTTAGGTCAAAAATGCGTTTCAGAATTTGGGTTAACACTTCATGAGATAACACTTCAACTGCATGCGAGCCCGAGATCGTGGGGAATTAAATAGTCCTGATTTAAACTGTTATGGTCAAAGAACTCGGGTCTGAGTAACCAGACATGCCGGGTTCAATGTCTGCTAACAGCAACGATGAATAAACCAAAGGTGGTCAGTCTAAACTTGATTGTTGATAGCACTTCCGACGTTTACAACGGTCAGTGTAAGCTCAATCACAAAAGCTTGACTCTCACCCTGAATAAAATATCTCTCGCGACTATTCGAAATATGTTTTTATCAAGGTCAACAAACCATTTGTGTTCCAAACAACTGGTCTGGAGACCACTCCCTCAAGTCTATCCGGCAAGAGTATGGTTGGTATCCGAAATAGGTCTACTAATATACAAGAGCTACTACTGCATGTATTTAAGTAGGTGTAAAAGTGCATGTTCACAGCTCAACTGCGACTGTGAAAAGCTGCTACCAGACGAATTCGCTATAAAGAAGGGTTGCTGGATGAACTTGCATATAAATAACGCAATTTCGATACCAGATTTATGTAGGTCTTAACTTTGTCCTGCATGGTGTGCGGCATTCAGAGACCCGAGTAACTAGTAATGCCTTAATTTTTTATCGTGTGGTAAATCCTGTTTGTAATCCAGGAGCCGCATCTTCTTCTGGGTCACAGCTATACTACTGTTCAGCAAATAAGGAGCGATCTGAAGGAAAAATTAAACACGGTCATCTGCATCACTGCTATCAGCCAGCGTCAATACAACTTGGCCCTTCTCCGTTATGACAGGTT